TGGCGCCTTAGCCACTTGAACCACAGGCACCGAGCCTTTTTTTTTTCTTTTTAGAGACAGAGTCTCACTTTGTTGCCCTCAGTAGAGTGCTGTGGCGTCACAGCTCACAGCAACCTCCAACTCCTGGGCTTAGGCAATTTTCTTAACTCAGCCTCCTGAGTAGCTGGGACTACAGTTGCCTGCCACAACACCCAGCTATTTTTTGTTGCAATTTGGCCCAGGGCTGGGTTCGAACCTGCCACCCTTTGTATATGGGGCTGGCACCCTACCCACTGAGCCACAGGAGCCGCCATGTTTTCTTAATAATATTTTCAAAGTGCAGAAGTAATTAATTTGATGAAATCCAGTTTGTTAAGTTTTTCCTCTTATGATTTACATTTTGGGGGCTCCTGATTAAGGACTATCTGCCTATCCCAAGGTTGCAAAAATTTTGTTGTATGATTTCTTCTGTAAGTATTTTCACTTTCAGCTTCTACATTAAGATCTACAGTCTATTTTGATTTAACTTTTGTGTTGGTCTGAGATGAAGATGGAGGGTCAGTTTTTTTTCAAATAGCTAATCTAGTTGTTCCACCATCATTTATGGAAAAGACTTTACTTGTTGAATCAGCCAGGTACTTTTGTTGAAAATCAATCAACCATATGTGTATGGGTCTTAAATTTTGGATTGTATTCTCTTCCATTCACTTATATGTCTGTGTTTATGCCAGTACTATTATACTTTGGCTTTATGGTAATTCTTGAAATTAAGTGCTCTTAAGTCCTCAGATTTTATTCTTTTTCAAGGTGTTTTGGCTATTCTTGAACCTCTGCCTTTCTGTATAAATTTTAGAATCAGCTCGTCAGTTTGGCATTTCTGTCATTAGTAATGAGTTATTGGTAACCTATTTTAAAACTGATCCTGTTATATGACTGAGACACAGAGTTGGGGAACTGATGTTTTAGATTAGAATTTGGAGTAGGAAGATGTGGTTTTACATCCTCATGCTGTCACATACATTAAATGTGACCTCTCATCACCTTCTTTAAGTCTCTGATTCCTGTTTTCTCATCTATACATGGGATTAGAAATGCCTCTTGCCTATGATTACTGTAGGAATAAATAAGAAAATGTGTGTAAAATTTTCTGTAGAAGGGTTCAATCAATGACAGGCCTTGTTCCCTATTATTGTTACCGTCAGTCATTCTCACGTATGGGTAGCACAGTGCAGCTCCCATTTCTACAAGGTAAACTGTCCCCAAATATGTGTTTCACATGAAAAAGCCTACTGATCATTGTGGATGTTAAATAATCTTATATGCCATTCAGTTGAGTGAATCAACTTTAATTTTTGTTCTAAATGTTTTCTTTTGTATTATGCCAGAATCTTGAGCTCAGTGATGATACTGTTCTGAATGAGATAAAGTTAGCAGATTGTGAACAGTTTCAGATGCCTGACCTGTGTGCTGAAGAGCTTGCTGTTATCCTTGGAATCTGGTAAGTTAATGCTGACTTGGTTACTTTGAACACCTTACATATTGGTTCTCTTGTGTTTGGGGAACTCTTTCTTCAAGGAGTTCCCAAGAGTTGTGGATAAATTGGGAATTTTGTAGCACTTATGAGGATTAAGAAAGAATACTTGGGAAGCCAATTAAAGGGTTAGAGATTAGGAATCTCATATGAGTTGCTATGCTCATTCTTTCCTTTATAAGCAAAATTTCTTTAGTGACCCTTAAGTAGGAATAGAGACTTTAAAAAATATTAAAGATAGGCCAGAATGACTATTTGGCCATTGATGATACTTACTTTTCAAAGGATAGAACTTTTTCTTAATACTATAGAAACTTATGTGTGGCAGACATAGTTTATTTTTTATTTTTCTGTATTGAAATAATTTCAAATTTGCAAAAATGTTTACAGGGAAATCAGTCAGTATAAAGAACTTTTGAGAATAAGTTTTTGACATAATGCCTTGTCATCCCTGAATACTTTAGTATGTATTTCCAACAAGTCAGGGTATTTTTGTACATAGCCATAGTCTAGCTATTAAAATCAGAAAATTAACATTCATACTTTACTATCATTTAATTCTCACACCCTTTTCAAATTTTGCCAGTTGTCTTGATAATCTCCTTTAGAGCAAAAGATCTAGTCTAGAATATCTACAGAGGGTGTCAAAAAATGCATATGTATTTTAAGAAAGGAAAAAATTCTATTATATTTGGAATACTCAGGTCACATTTGAGTGACTGCAATTGCAAGGTGCTCGATACAGCTTTTGGTGTTGGTATGTAGTGAGCATTACAATTTTCACACAGTCTTTCCTTTCTTACAATGTGTATACTTTTTTGGTACCTTTGGTAGGTTGCGTTTAGTTGTCATGTCTCTTCAGTCTTTGTCAATCGGGACTAGTTCCTCTGTTTTGCTTGACTTTTGTGATCTTGGCACTTGAAATTTACAAGTTAGTTATTTATTGGCTTTCCCTAAATTCAATTTTGTCTGATTTTTTTTTTTTTT